CAGGGAAAATGGCCGCGGATCCTGTTTGTCACCCGATGTGGAGTTCGCAAATGGAAGCAAAATTTTGTGAACGGTGCTGTTCGTGACCCGAGGTATCACTGTACTAGCACAGGTATTGATGTGAAGCACACTATCCAAGGAGCTCTTATAGATCTGATCTGGGCATGCCACTGAATTGCTATCTAGTGACCAGAAGTCGAGCACACCTTAAAGGATACATTTTAGTTCAATATTATCCGCTTTTCAGGTTTGAAGGCTATGTTATGCAATGTCAAGTTATAGCCTTGACATTCACGTTTGCACTATGTCTGCTTTTCTGGCCCATTGCCTTTGCCTTCCAAAAGCCCACCCACATGACTTTCCCAGAACAGCAAAATTGTTTCTAGTCAAACAGGTATCTCAGATTTTGTTACTCTATTTCTGAACTTTTGGTGCCTTCCTACTTGAAGGTCAGGTAGCTAGCTTTCCTAGCTTTTTTTTTTTTTTGACATGTTGCACATTGTTCTACCATTTTATCATTTATACTTACTACAGTTGCAATGCATTCTACGGTAGTGTCCTGTGGGGGTTGGAAACACATCTCCAGAGTAAAGGATTCTGGACTGAATGACTGACCATGAGCTCACTTATATGATTGCTGAGAGTCACCTGACTGATTTTTATTCTGCCTGGTCACCCCAACCTTTCAACCACAGAGCCACTCTAGTTAGTGATGACCTGGTGATGATTTTTCTTCTGCTCCCTCTCCCTCCCTTTTTCCTTGTGTGCCATGTCTGTTTAGCTGTAGGTAAGGACTGGCTTGTGAAATTTGTGTTGCCTCAAAGTAAACCTGTTTGGAAAACAGACAGAAGACTGCGATTTGGGAACAGATGTTTCCTGTGGAGGCTCTACAACCTTGGATGGCCATGTTGTGCCATGCTTGGGGTGATTCTGGCATTGTTAACTACCAACTATGCAGACATTTGGTATCTATTGTCATATTTTAACAGCTACTACTATGTTCACCATTATTATGTATAAACTTGCCAGGAACACAGTGATATGTAAGGAATTCCAAAAAAGCAGAGTTAATGGTACCATATTACCTCTGAAACACAGTTAGGGCTAATGAGCAAAGTGACAGATGCATGATCTCATTTGCCTTTGGTACTTACATATGTACCATTTTATGGACACTGGGGAAGGGGAGAACGTTAGGAAAAACACAAGACTGTATGACCACGTTCAGAAATCTCTGGCTTCACTGGGGTGGCTTATGTGGCCTCCACTTCCTTACTGGTTCCATACCACTTAGAAAATCCAGAGAAAATCCAGAAAACCTAGAGATCCAGAGCTATTGCTCTTCCTTCCCCCATGCTAATAGACTCTGTGACTGGACCAAAGAGCGCTACTTATGTTTTGAATTCCATGAGATGCAGAGCCATGGGCAAGAGAAAGCACCTCAAAACTGAAGCTAGAGTGCTATATCTTAACTCCAGTCTGACTCTTGTGTCCGGTCCTGAAGGACGTCTTAAGTAGAACTACACCAGGACTAACTGGGCTGTGTGTTTTCCACTATTGAGTATAACGTCATTGTGTCATTCGTACCACGCAGTAGAATGTTGTCTCTGCCCTTCAGAGTTGCTCTCCAATATTTGGATAGGGGAGACTTCACCCCACCCCACCTGACCTGCAGGACATAATGGTTTGAACTTGGGATCCTCTGCACATGAGGGAGGATCTCTGCTCTCAGCAGTTTGCAGTGCGTGTGTGTGTGGAGACGTACCAGAATGCCCCGGCTTGAAATAGTATGTTGGATTTCATTCTACTGAAATCTCTTGGTAGCTAAAATATAGCTATCCCTGCTTATAGCAATACACGTACAAGGACACCAAACAGCAGCATGCTTTGTTCTGCAGCTTCTAAACAGGCTTAAGTGCAGGAATCAAATGCAGTGAGTCGTGTAACTTGCAAACTTATCCTTATAAAGAAGGTTGGATTGCAACACAAGAAAATAAGTCATTATTAGCTGCCAGATTTTCTCTAAGAAAGCACTAGGAAAGTAAAGTTCATCTTTCTTTGAACTACTGTTTATTCCAAGTCTAGGAGATGGCACTGGCCAAAAAAATAACACAGCAAAAAAAGACACTCAAAGAACTTTTAAAGAAAATACTGTTTTATTCAGAAGTTGTCTCAGTTATTTAGTAACATTGACCCAGCAAATCTCAATAGATTATCTGTGTCTATACAAGCATTTTTGTACTAGAAATGCTGAAGACTGCTAATGGTTACAAGAGAGGGTATGTATATTCCCAAGTTAAGCATTTCAGAGAAGCTTATCAGAAAAATACCAGTTTTGTTGCTCACTGTATACTTAAAAATTTAAATAAGTCAAAATAAATGCAATGCTGTTCATTTTGTGTAATTTATCTGTTACAATCTGAGGTTCTCAAAGATTCACTTGGAAATTATTTTCGTATAATTACATAAAATAAATTCAGTAACACATGCACATACAAGCCTCTCCATGCACCCACTTTCCTTAACGTTTCTCAGATCTCTTGCTTCTAGAGTTGCTGGACAAATTGTATCCTCTCTGAGCTGACACATTTAAAGACCACTCAATTTGAAGAATTGGTCACCTGACTTACCCTTTCTTAGAAAGATACAAATGGGGAGCATGTTAGCTTAGTATATGTACCAGCAGGCATCTCCAAAGTACTGCTGATTAGAAAAATAGTTTGGACTTAGATTTGACTCATTTCTTCTTTCACATTTGACTTCTATTATATTCAATATATACATTTAGTTTTTAATAATTTTAACTCATTTCTCATTCAAAGTCATCCTAAAGCATACTATTATTACTACCACATTATTTTATCAAGCACAATTCTATGAGCGTACAGTTTTAAAGAGAATCATAAAATAGTGGACAGTTTCAATCATAGTTTACCAAGTTAACTAAGGTTGGATGACAGCAGTGCAAATATTCAAGGGAGCTTGTCATATAGCGTGGGCCCAGCCCTTATTTTCATATATGATGTTAAATTGTGACACTGTATGTAACTTCAGCATACTGTTTGAACTCAGCTCTTTGTGCCAACTATGGGTTACTGCAATTTGTAATCATAATCCCAGTCTGGATCTACCCCATCATTTGGGAAACTAACTGTTGTAAAGTTCAGTGCACATTTATGTCAGACCTTATACCAGGCATAGCAACAAATGCTGACACCCTCTGTGTGTACTCCATGAGTTAATGGGGTGGGAACACAGGGCGCTATTACCACAGCCAATGACGCACTCCCTCAGGGACTCCATCACACTCCCCAAACAGTAATGGTGGCCATTCCACTTGGATGGAAATGAAACCATGGCTATGCCCACCTGCCATGCTCAAGGTGCTTACTTAAAAAGCTGGTGGCTCTATGTGCAAAACATTGCAAGCTTAGTCAGTTTAACCAATGTGAGATTTCTTTTGTAGGGGAGTTAGTGAGTTATGGGAATCTAACCCATGTGGTCAGTTAATGGTTCTGTGTATTGGGTGATCCCAAGGGTAATCAGTCTCTGAAAGAAGGGAAAGGAGAAATTGTACTGATGTGGAGGCTGCTAACAAACTGCACCAGAACTATTTGCCTGCAGGTGGGGTGACATTCTCTGGGAAGGTGCTGCCAGGAAGAACCATGAGCTAGAGGAGGGGCAGTTGCCTGGGGCATCTCTGGGATCCTACTTTTGGTGGGCATCGATCAGAAACTGCAGTATCCTGGGCTGGAGATGGTTTCACGAGATAGCAACAGTAAACAAGCATGTCTTGGACCAGGGACTTGAATGCACCTTGAGGATGCAACTACTCTCCACAACCAAAGACATGCTATCCGGTGAATACAGCAGCAAAGGGAAGCTGTTGCTGTGGGAAAGAGTTGTGGGATGGTACAGGGACCAGCACCAAAAGGGACTATGCCCCACCTTGACATGGATCAGCTGTGGGAGGTTTGCTGATACCTAGATACCTTCCAGGTGAGTCTGCTTCTTCAAGGAGAGTGGGAAAGGTGTTTTTGGCTGCCTGTCAGTGGAGCTGCGTTGTGTCAGTGGTGATGTGTTAGTGCTGACAGAAGCAGTGACAAACCACTGGTAGCTCAACGCTATTGATTAGGGGCATAGCTGACTGGCCCACCACAGCAGCAGGGGAGGGGCTATCACCCTGTCCTCCTGTCTCCTCATTCTCCATGAGGCTTGGATGACCTAGGTGTGGGTTGAACCACTACTAAAGGAGGAAAGGGAAGGATTGGCTGGCAGGGTCAGTTTTAAAATAGTGAGGGGTTAAGCTTTGGGAAGCTTTAGCAGCTTTGGTTGGAAAGCGCTAACAGATTAAACTGTAGAGGTTCTGTCTGGCAAGTGTAACAATTGACCAATAGAAGAGAAACTTATAGTAACAACTGAACTTGGCAAGAATGCCAAGCACAAGAAACCCATGATGGGGTAGGGAAGGACCCTCTTTGAATATAAGGTGTGAATGCATGCAGAAACAAAGCATATCTTAATTAATGAGGGTCATGTGAGCCATACAGGACAGCTTAATTTATGAAGACTTTTGGGTATGAAATTGTAATGAAACTGTAACCAGTGAAAAAAAAATCTGAAATTTTGAGAGGCCTCTTTAGACCATGAGACCCTAAACTGTAACTTGCTTAGCTTATGTCTAAATCTGGTGCTGTCAGCAGGCTGCTGTAGGAATAGTAAGAAAATGGCAACTGCTGGTGCCCATATGGTACTTTCTGCAAGGATTCAGCCCACAGCAGTGGAACATTGGCAAATAACCATCTCAGGCTTACCAGAATGGGGTAAACTCTTGGCCCAGTATTCTCCTCCTCCCCCCGCTGCTCTTCGTCCTCTTCCTGCTCCTCACAGTTCAGTAGAGGATATGGCCCATGAATCTGGCATGCCAGGAAATTAAAAAAACAAAACAAAAAACATGTCAGGTTATAGCAACTTGGAGAAAAGACCTGCCACCACAGAGCAGCACAGCAGTTCCATAGAGCACCAAGCACCCCAGCAGAACCCTCCCCCAGTGACCACACTGGGTCAGGTAGGTGAGAAGCAAGCAGGACAGCTCCAAAGAGAATGCTACAGGGAGGGAAGGAAGCAGTTGGAAGGGAGCACAGTCAAAGATAAAACATTCAGAAGCACATGGAAAGTGCTAGGCTTGACAAGCACCTGTGAGCTTGGCACAGAGAAATATTTGTCCTCTAGGGACAGTTTCATGGCTGGGGCTGCATGAAGGGCTGCTCCAGTCATCGTAGCCTGGAAAGGCAATCTGGAAAAAAGGAGAGACTTCAGTGATCCTACTACCCTCAACTGTTGGAGGAATGCATAGCAGAGGACCTATGCCTGGCAGCAGAGAAATGAGCATGAACCATACATAATCCATGAACTTCAAGCAGCGGGTAACGTGCCCTGCATCTCATGGACAGCTCTAGTATGAAAGGCACCTGCAACAACCCAAAGGGCAACGGCACAGATGAGACTGCCCAAGGATGTGCCTGGCTCCTTGCCATACCTGGGACTCCTTGCCAAAACACCTGACCAGCATTGTTGCCATTCTGGAACAGCTGATAGGAATCCTGACTACAATTCCTTGATCTGGCTTAATTTTACACCATTACAGCACGGGAGATGCACAGTTTAGACTGTGTCCAGTGAATCCTGCTTTTTATACATTTCGGAAAGGTTCAGCAACCTTAATTCCATACATGTAAAATGGAACATTACGGAACACAGAAACTGATGATGGAGCTGATCCACTGGCCTGGCAGGGGGATGAGCACAAAAAAAATTCCTCTTTTTTCTTGCAATAAAACTAGCAGGCCAGGGCAGCTCCTATTAAAGACTTTTCTCCGGTGACTTTATAGCTATTGCTATTCAAAAGGCCTAACGGTGAAGACCAGCTTATGGGAGCTACTGAACGCTTGGAGTGAGTCAAGAAACCAAAGGTTTACAGGAGCGAAGAAGGCGGCGTTGGTTTTCGTCCCGCTTCAGATCAACAAGGCTCTCTCTGATCATTCCTAATCTACTAGACCATAAAAAGAAACGGCTTTAAAACACCTCGCAGAACTAATCACGGTATTGTGGGGGGCTGATAATAAACAGGAAGAGATAAAGGGGTGAAGAATATGAAGGGAAAGCTAAACGTGACAAATAGGCTTTGCCTTTGAAACTTACCAGCCACGCAACTTTCGCTGCCTCCCTTGAACTCCCCTGCAGGTCCCCGCCGGGTCGAGCTCCCCGAGAGCTACCGACACACACAGACACCACCGCATTCTCCGGGCGCGAGCCCGACGAGCGAAGAAAGCCGGAGCGGCGAGCAGGTGGGCCTCCAATGAAGCTCTCCCCTTCTAGGTCCCCGTTGGCCAACAGCTCGGCGATGCCGCGGAACTCTGGGCCAGCACCTTCTCTTTATTGGACGAGAGGCTTGTCAATCCGCCCCCACACACCGCCGACTCGTCTGCTTGCGGCTTCTAAGGGGTGGCTTAGGAGCGGCGGCTGCTGCGAGCTGCGCGAGGCAGCTCGGCGGAGAAGAAAGTTTTGCAACACTTGGGCACCTGACTCCGCTTCTCTCTCCTCGCGCGCGCTCCGGAGTGAGGCTGATCCCGGGAAGCCGCCTGGCCTGGGAGCGGACAAAGCTTGGCAGACAAAGTTTCCGCTTCTCCCTTTGGTTTTTCTTTGAAGGGTTACAGTCGGGAGATCCCAGCAGAGGAATCAAGCTCTCGCCCTTCACCTTTGCTTTTGGGTGGGTGAGAAATGCTGCTCGTCTGTGGAGCAGGTCATGATTTAGATGGGAATTCGCTGACCTGAGGATGGACCCGCTTCCCTTTTTGCAGAAAGTGAGGGGAGGGTATTAATTACGCACCTTTTTATTGACTTTCTTGCTGCCGCTGCTTTTCTCCCACCTCTTCTTCTGCCGGAGCACCAGGTCTTGTTGGAGCTATATGGAGGGATCTCAGAATGGTTTGCAACAGGAAAACCAAAACTTTAGTGTCCACATGCGTGATTCTCAGTGGAATGACTAACATCATCTGCTTGCTCTACGTGGGCTGGGTAACCAACTACATTGCCACGGTGTCTGTGAAAGTTCAGGAGCCGATCTTGGAGAAAAAGTTAGAGGAAGACAAAGGAGACACTCTAAGGATTATAGAAAGGCTGGACCATTTGGAAAGTGTCATCAAGCAGCACATCCAAGGTACTCTCTCGCTCCCGCAGCCCCGCGTCTCTCCTTCGGCAGATCATCCTTTTCTTCCCCGTCTTCCAGGTCTCCCCCCTATCCCCTTTTTAAAACATGCGTTGCACGGGCTCCTTTGATCTGGACCATGGGTGTTTTTGAGGTCGTATGCCTGCTGCCATAGGCGGGATGGTGGAGTCTGGTCCGAGGGGAGGATGCGGCGGCGGCGGCTAGTTAAGAGAAAAGAGATTCGTTTAGGAGAAGAATCGGGAGCTTTGTTAGGACGGGCTCTGCTAGATCGGGCGAAAGTTCCTGCTTCCTGACTGCCTCCCCTCTCAGTTAGCCGCTTGGTGCCGCCGGCTAGGCTGCCTGCCTGGCTGGAGCGAGAAGCCGGGTGGTGGGGGCAGCGCCCACCGCTTGCTTGCTTGCTTCCTTCCTTCCTTCCTCCGTTGCTTGATAATTTTGCCGCCGCTAGTTCTGAAGCTTGCAGAGGGGCTTGGCGAGGGGGCCCCTCGTTGGCTCGAAGCCTTGGATGAGCGAACGAGCGGCAGGCAATTTCTGGAGGAGGCTGTTTGGTGGTGCCCTCCACCCCTCCCCGCTTTTCCCTGGGAGCCGGCGACTGCGAAGAAGCGGCTGGTGCCTCCCAGCCAGAAGCTCTGCCGGTGGCTGTGGGTAACCTGGCATTTGACAGCAGCGGCAGGCAGTTTCGCCCGAGGGAGGGAAGAGGCTGGGGAGCCTTGCTCGACCAGAAGCCCGATTCTCGGCGCCCGAGGAGCGGCATCACATCAGCGGGTGGGTTGGGCTCTCGCTGGGTCAGTCGCTGTGAGAAGCCTGCTCTCCAGCCTGTTGAAGTTGCCCTGGCAAGGAGACATTGGAAGATCTTCTCTGGGAAGATCTGCAGGAATCGGGGGCATCCGATTAGCATCTGATCCTAATTTCATTCCCCCATCACTTCGGGTTGTGCTTATGGCTATTTTACTCTCTCGTGTTCATGTCCCCCCATCTCTGCTCCTGAACGCCTGGCCTAGTTGTGTTAATTGCCTTTATATATCGATTGCAATTTATTTCAGCATTTTGTTTCCTTGCTGCTCTGATTGGGAGGATTGCTTGGGAAGGAAATCTGAGATTATTCTCAATCTGTGTAATGGCATTTTATTTATTTATTTATTTATTTATTTATTTATTTATTTATTTGTCACATTTAATTGGTCACTGTTTCACTGCTTTTCCCTTAGAAAGGGATGTTGAGTTGAGGAAGGATAGGAAACATAATTTCCTTTGCCAGATGTGGTTTTGGACCTATGTCGTCTCTTTTGCTTCTTCATATGCTATTAGCTTCTTAATATGTTATTAGTTACAGAAGGCATGATATATGTTCTTTGTTTACCTCTTTGATGGAGAGGGGGAAAGAGCCACATGCCTTCCAAATGATTTAAGGGCTCATGGCCAAGTAGGGGTTAAATTATTTCTGTCTTCCCCTCCCCCATTTTTTTCCTTATGAATTTCCGGGAGGGGAAGCCCTTGGCATGCTTTCAGATTCCACAGTGCTTTTGTTTCTCAATATTTTACACACGTTTAATCAGATAAAGAGACCATATTCCATTATTAGATTTGTGCAGAGTTTTGTCAATTGGGCAATCACAATGGGCATGTCCATTCTGATTTTTGGAATTGTGAAATCTAGGAGAAAAAAGGTCTATTCCTAAAAATAAGGCATGTTTGATAACTTCAATTACCAGCCACTTGGGCTGATGTCCTGCAGCATTCATCTCTATCCAGCCAGCCAGAACTTGGCTAGTTTGCTACAGCTGGTAAACAGATTTCTTTTCTCCTAAATCTATTTTGCCAGTAGGACAGAATGCTCCAGTTAGAAGCATGAACTTCAGTGGAAATATGTTAAAGGCACACACAGCACACATTCATGAGCACGATTTCTGTGTATAAAGGAGGCTTTTTGAAGTCCTGCTGCTTCCATGGAGGTATGTATGAGTGTAAAGAGAATCATACAATGCAGATTTCTTTCCCTTCTGCCTATTCCATGGCTACACCTGTACAAAGCCATTTCTTTTTCAGGAGGTGGAGTAATATCAGCATAAGGCAGTTATAAACTTTTTTTTTTTTTGGTATGGTTTGTATTTTTCTGGAATCCTGGAATTAATTTGGTGAAGGAGAAATATGGCCTTGATATAGAACGTATGCTAATGAAATGTTATGCCCACTGTAAGCAGGATTTTTATATTCCAGTTATGGTTGTTTGGAAGTAGATCTGATTGTGCTGAGTAGGGCTTACTGGGTAGTAATAATGTGTAAGTGTAGGAGTCCAAGTTAAAAGAAGTGAGGTGTCCAAGTTCACAGAATTTTTGGTGACACAGGATTTAAGGACAAATAGTTTTCTTCCACTGTTGACCTGCCCTTCGTTCAGCAGCACAAACTGAAGTCATGGTTTTTGATATCTTGTTGGTGCGGAGGTTGGACAGGCTCTATGATAGAAAATGTGCTTTGCATGTAAGGTCTTCAGCACAAACTCTCAGATGTTAAAGAATCTTGGGCAACAAGGCTGAGAGCTGTAGCCAAAATCTTTGAAGTGCCCTGATGCAGGAGAGCACCTTATAAGGTATGTGCTATTGGAAATGTAAGGAAATAAAACATACCTTTATTGAAATTAGTCCTAAATAAATATGCAATAGATAACTGTAGATATCAAAGCAACAGTCAGGCTGCTCTTGGCCTGGAATTCTGAATGTAAATTAACTAATGACTGGACATGCTTGGGTTGAAATTCAGACATTGTATCTGATGACTGCTTAAGTCACCACTTCTGTTAAAATGTATCTCCTTAAGAGGGAATTGCAAAATTAATTTCAGCACTAAATGGTTATGCTGAATGTTTTTAATTAAATCAAGAGAGATAACATTGTGGTGTGACTTAGAGGATGATCTTCAAATACTTCAAATTTTTATGGTGAACTTGTTAAATAGCTATAACTGTAGGCTACCACTTGCTAAAAATGGTTTACTAAATAAAATACAATGGACTTAGTTCACATCACGCAATAAATTGCAAGCAACAAGGACTAGGTTCACACAATATCACAAATCATGCTTGTTTGGTTTCAATTTAGGGAACTGTGCAACCCCTCTGTAGACTAGCTACTGTATATTGGCTTCAGCCTTGCTATTTGTAGGATGAGGGTTATAAGACTTGACTACCTTATAGGGCTATGACTTTATAATGTTACTAGAGCTAAAGCTGAGATATAGCAACCTGTCAATAGCTCTCTAGACTAGCCAGTAAAATGGTGCCTTTCCAACATGGCGGTAGGGAATTCACCTGGAAAGCAGCCATTTAGGGAAGACTGATCTGGTGGTTTGCTTTGGCTTTTTTTTTTTTTTGGCTAACCTACAAGGTTGTTGATACGATTTTTCAGTAGGCCTATGCAAATTGAATCAGCCTTCATTTAAGTCAGAGTGGAGATTTGAGATTTGGAGAAGGTATGATTTGATTGGAATTTGCACTCTGATATTTAAGGGTGAGCCAAAGACCTTTCAATATTTTGTTTGTTTTAAATTATGCATAGGTTAGAATGGGGAAGTGTCAAAACTCCTACATCTGCTTCATTCTGGAACACGTGTATGAAAAGAGCAGGAATAGTAGATTCATTAGGGTACGTTATCCTTGCCAAAGGTTTCACTGCAATACTTAACAAAAATACCCCTGTACCTCTTTGAAGGCAGAGATATCAGGGTTAACCAAAGGTCAGTATAGCAGCTTCCAAACAATCCCACAAAGTTGTGCTTACTGAATCAGTGTAGAACAGTGTTGTCCAAACGTGGCCACTTTAAGATGAGTGGACTTCAACTCCCAGAATTCCCCAGCCAGCCACTACAACACTGGTGTAGAATATCTTAAAAGAATTTACAACTGTTTAAAAATAAGCTCTTTTCCACTTCTTTTCCTGGACTTCTACCTTGAAGAATGACTTACCCTTGAGGGTGGTCCAGTTTTGGTCCTTCTGTGCAGCACAAGGAAGGTTGGTATAGCTGGTTGATCATTGCTGCTGCCATCTTGACTTTTTTGACCCACACTGCAAATTTCCCTGTCTGGCATCCTGTCAGAGCTTGCTCTCTGCTTTGCTTGGATGGAGCCATCAGGCCCGTGTGTACTACAGAATAAAATCCAAAAAGCCCCCAAACTCTTTGCTTCTTTCTGACTCTGCTGCCACCATCACTGCTGGAACATAGCTGTTGCTTCTTCAGTCGGGGAAAGAAGAAGAACAGAAAGTGGAAAAAGTAGCTGAGGGGAGAAAATAAGCCAAAACCAGTTGTGATCCCTGCTCAGGTTTGCTTGCCACCTCCTGCCATCATGACTTGAGGTTGAGAAGCTCTACATTGAGTAGATACTATGGATGGATTCACATTATCGTATAAAGTCCTAATGTAGTTCAGCGTTTCTTAACCTTAGCAGCTTTAAGATGTGTAGACTTCAACTCCCAGAATTCCCCAGCCAGCATGCTGACTGGGGAATTCTGGAAGTTGAAGTCCACACATCTTAAAGTTGTCAAGGTTGAGAAACACTGATGTAATTGGTTGGATTTTGGCTTAGCATGCTTGTTTAATTATGTAATCAGTTTGTAAGCCACCTGAATTGCCAAAGTGCCTCTAGGCAATGTGTTATATGTTAAAACATTAAAGCAAAGCAAAATGAAAAAAAACCCCAAACAAACAAAAAAACAGAAAACCAACAACAAAGGGAATATTAAACTACCACACTGGGGGGGGGGGGGGGGGAAAACATAAATACCACAG